AAATAAATAAAAGGTATAACAAAATATTTATTGACTGCGTTCTCGAGCAAATGCGTTTTGTCGACCCCTCGAACCAAACTGTTTGCCTTTGGCCTAACGGCCTCTGGCAAACAGTTTGGTTCTTGGGTCCGACAAAACGCATGTTGCCCTCGAACCCAGTCCATAAATGTATGATATTATTCTTTCATGTAAGTTACTTAAATTTGATTCGTGGAGAAACATTTATCAAAAAACTATAACCATCTGAATGATGATACCACGCCCTTCAGCGCGATAGAACTTAGCACCAGTCAACATTGCTTGACAACGGGTGTTATCCCCCCTCCCCAAATTAACTGCGCGGAATCTGTGAGCGCTATCTCTACCTTTCTTTGTATTTATATAAAACATTCAGTAAAATATGATAAATACTGCATGTAGATGAGGGTAACATTGAACATTTGCAGTATTTAGGTAATATTCACCTGGAAGGTCACGTGCAGGTGAATTTAACGTAGTACTTTTTCTACACTGTTGGATCTCAGCCAATCAGAGAGAAATGAATTATTCAATCAATAATAAATGTATTTATATCATAATCCTCTTTTGATATTTACATTAATTTCTACAAAATTTGCAACAATCATCACAAATATTGAAATAAGTCGTCTATGAAATAGCATGCACAAGCTAGAAGAGAGAAAAATATTTTTATGTCCTTGTATTTGAAGATACGAGACATATAGTTTGTACCCTGTCCGTCCGTTCATCTGTCTCTTGAATTGGTGATTTCATAAGTTTTGCTTAATATACGATTACATAATGGACATTAAAACGAAGCCAGGTGTAGGAAACAGAAAATCATAATAATTTTAAATATTTTTGATATATTATGAAGAGATACAAAAACAGATATTCAAGGAACTTGTCGCCAGACCTTAAAAGCCTCTTCATGTTATGGTCGAGTTGTAAGGTCTAGTGGCTAACGTGTACAGTCACTGAGAAGAAGCTGTTATTCGGAATTTTTTATTGTTTGGGTTCAAACCTCAAGAAAACTGCAATTTTTTCAATATTTTTGCAAAGAGAATTTTTCGCACAAAAATTCTGCTTGCCAAAATTTCATACCTTTCAACAATAAGAACTTTGCTCTAAATACTAAGTTCACAAACAAACACTTGAGATAATAGACATTTCCTAATCTAATTCACTCGCGTTATTTTTTCATTAAAATACCTCACATTTAGCCGTGGCTGTAGAACAGTTAACGCAACTCCTTCTAAACCCCCCGAATAAAATTTAAGGACAATTTCACAGAATCTCGTTTACATACTAGCAAGCAACGCACTTTGCCATATGAGAGCGGAGGTGTCATTTTGTGAGCTGTGCTTACAGTACTTCAGGTTTAAATATTAGACTTGTCTTGCGTCTTTTGGACCCTCAGAAAAGACTCAATTCAATTTAAGCGAAAACAAGTCAATTTTAAGTCATTCAAATATTTAATATAAATACTGAAAAGGGGCAGGGTAAAATGTTCCTTTGTTTGTTAATGCAGAAATTATTTTTTTAGCTATTTCAGAAAAAAATCTTAACTCGCATAAGCAGAACTTGAACCATCTAGGAAGGCATTGGATTGCAACATATGAATAGGAAGACTTTTTTCTGCATAGCATTCGTCTCTCGATTGAAGCCAATTATATCTTTTCTGAAAAAACTGTAGATTTCTCCACATTAACAACTATACCTGGTAGGTCTTATCTAGTGCTCCTGGAATGCATACAGTTTTGAATGCAAGCCACGATCTTAAACTGTTTACAGCAAAATCATCGGAGCACAATAAGGATATAATTTTGCTTTCAAGAGATACATACATATTGCACACTTTCGTATCACTGTAGACAGTTTTGAGTTCAATGATAAACATAGAGAAAAACCAAGGGCTTAATGAACACCCTTTCCATACACCTACATATCATGCGAGAAAAAAATGTTTCAGTCAAATCAAAATGATAGTTTAGGTGTAGGTGTCGTCAATCATGGGGAAAATTTACAAGCAATCTAACAACATGAACTTTCAATACGGCATAAATGAAAAGTGACGTAAAGTACATGCAGGTTTTTATTGTTTTACAAGACAAATAGTTATCAGGAAGTTGATATCGGTCAACCCATCAAGATGACTTGGGAATTCTTCCTCGCTTAAAATTAATCTTCATTGGTGCTATAATTAAAACTAATGGATTGAATTCATCAACATGTTGTATTGTATAATTTATTTGATCATTTAATCTCCACATTTCTTAAGACTAAAACTTTTGTTTCAAAGTTGATAAAACCATAATGAAATTCACTAAATGTATTTTATTTGTCTATATACATGTATTTATAATCATCAAGGTCTACAGTGTGTCAGAGCATGCATTTTGACCTATACTCGGCACTTAGGGCCATTGAGCAGTGAGGGATCTTTTTCGTGCCAGCACCTACTGCGACACGGGACCTCGGTTTATACGGTCTCGTCCGAAGGACAGGCCTCCAACTGTTGTAAATAGTCTTTCATAAAACTGTCGACAGGAATCACACACCTGCCCCTCGGGTAAGTTATCGGGAGAATAGTTCCTGTTGCGGGTTTGATAAGAGACTATTCCACTCAAACCATTGGATGAGTATGTATTATAGCTTTCCTAAAGAACAATGTATGGTAAGAGCCGAATTAGGCCCCTAAGGAGATGGGCGAACATAGCGTGCAGAAAGCCTATAGCTTCAGAAATATAAAAATCATGTTCAGTTTGTGAATTTAATATTTAGAGTAAAGTTCTCATTATTGAAATTTATGTAATTGTGATAAACAAAACTTTTCTGAGGAAAATTTTCTCGGCAAAATTTATTCTTTTATTAAAAAAAATTAATGTGGTATTCGTGGGGTTCGAACCCTAGCAATAAAAATCCTGATAATCATTTTCTTTCGAGACTAGCACGCTAACCACTAGACAACACAAGTCCTGACGAACAGTGGCATTTAAATCATGTTTGTGATATGACCCTTGACTTAATGAACTTCAAGTATTTCTCGAAAAGATGCGAATGTTATGTCATGAAAGTATATTTTTAAGGTATAGTGGGTCATTGCTCCATATTTTTGGTAACCAAAAATGTATATTTTTATGCAAACTTTGAGGATTAACTTTCAAAAAGGTGGAGCAAAGACCCACTCATATCGAAAAATAGTGTTATAGTATGCGAAAATGACTCTTTTTGCCCGCTTTAGTGTGTGTCTAATATTTCACAGGCAAATAATTTCAAACTTTGAGGGATTTTTGCAAATTGTAGAGATTTTACATAAAGTATATTTTAATGTTAGACGAAATATCAAGGAAAATTTTGATATAATAGAAATTTAATTTTTCATCTTCAAGTTTGTCACACTATAGGCTTATAGCTCGTCATGTTCACCCATCTCCTTTGATAAAGGAAAAAGAAGTTTGAATTTTAATAGTTGGCAAGTAAAAATTTTAAATGATGCTTGTTTTATAACCAGTATAATTGATTTTTAAAGCGTACATGGATGCCACAAGAGGCAGAGAAAGTGGAACATTCAACCAAATTTCAACTATTATTCTGATGGAATTTCCCCTAAACTGCGATACTTATTACCTCTGAAATCAGAGCACAAGCTTACCTATCTGAAATTTTCATTCACAAGATGTATCTTAAACTGGTGCATGAAATATATAAATTTCGTAGATAGGCAACCATTTTCTGAAACAAAATGTGCTTTAAAATTGATGAAAATTCGAATAAAAATGAAAAAAATTCGGAAAATGATCAATTTTGTGACCTTCCTATTACCTCTATATATCCCATCATTTAGAATCTAAACTCGTTTTGTAACAAGGCTTTACTGTACCATTCTAAGATACATCTCAAACCAAGGGCCAGAAAGGGGTCTTAGATAATCTTGTCCTTTAAGACAATGAAATTTTTTTTTTACTTTAAAATTTTTAAGTTTAGAAAGAAGTTTGAGAAAGTAAAATTATTCATTCTAGTTTTCAAAAAATGCAGCGCTGAATTAAATTAGTTCAGACTTTTATCTAATTAAAATGGAATATTAATCACAAGCAGACATTCCATTTACAATATTTCAGTGATATAATACATTTTTTGAGGTCCTTTAGTACAACCATAATTGAAATATATATTGATGTTAAAAAATGCAAATCATGGATTATTCATTTCACAAGTGCATATTAAAAGAGGGTCGGGATATATGTATGTCACTTTAACTTCAATGAATAGTATCAATCAAGTACAGTAAAGCAAGCTTATAGCGAACACGCTTTTAATGAATTGGCGTTTACAGCAAAGTGATTTCCATTCCCCATGACTTAAAAATATATTTGACACTTAATGGATATAATGAGTTACACTGATAATGAAGCAAAATTGTCAGTCCCTGGCACTTCATTATAAGCATGTTTTACTCTAATTGTAATCAACTTATTTCTCTTTACATGTGCTGTGGAATCATCACTGTTCATCGGGGATTAATCTGTGGATTTTGTGAGTAGCCCTTACCCATGAATTAAGTCCCCACAAACAAGTCAAATTTTGGTTACCCATAAAAATTGACCCCCATATACAATGATGATTCTTCAGTAAATAAAATTCTTATACAGGTTTAAATCAAACATGGAATGCTATTAAATACATTTTTCTTTTTTATTTGACAGTTAAATATTTCACAAAATTACCTAACATACAATTTATAATTCAGATGGTTAATTGCATAAAAACTAATTTTCATTTGATTTAAAAGGCAGTGAGCATTAATGCTCACCTGAGTATCATAGTTCCTCCTCATATGACAAACTTAAGTTTCCCCTAGAAATCTATACTCTATACAGATTTGTGTGACATGAATTTACAACTGAAGATCTATGTGCTCACTTTCATTATCAAAGAATCTTGTTTATAAAAAAAATGAGTAATAAGTCCAACCAATAAGTCTGACACACAAACTCACAAATTTGATAAGACTTACTATCATTAAGAAAAAAGCAAAGGTTTGCTGGCTAAAAAAAAAAAAATTTAAAAATCCATATACTGTAGAATAAACCCATGTTAATTCATTGTTCTGGTCCTTCATAAAGCTAGAAATATATGCACAATGTCATGCTTGTTATGGTTTTCAAGACTTTTTTGCAGCTGACTTCCATGATCAATTTTCCAGTTTGTCAGAGAACATTCTTTGTAATTTAAACACTTAAATGTAGGTACTAGCTCTCACTTTCAAACATCTCAGTCAGTCTGCTTAATTGAGCAATCAAAAACATGAAAACACAGAAGAACAACATAAAGGTTGCCACAGTCTTTTCCATGCCAATCATTTTCTTCAGATGATTAGTCCTCACGGTCATTCAATAACTTTCCTTTAGGCTAGCATACATGTTGAATTGTAAATACCCTGTAATGAAACAAGTAATATTATGATTAAATTTTTTATTTTAATACATGTAAAAAGAACCAAATTATCAGGGCAACTGTGGTAAAATTTCTTGCCAGTTCACATTAAATTTGTCCTAATTATAAAATGAAAGACTAAGTTTGGTGAAGGAGATAGATTCTTTGTTTAGGGATGGGTATCGGCAAAAAATTTGTATCGTGATATATCACGATTTTTCCCCAAAAATATCAGGATAAATCGTGATATTTTTACACACAATTTTTACTACAATTTCAAATGAATTTTCATAATATTTCTTAAAAATAAGCTATAAAAACCTAACTTTACTTTTTTATTCATTTAATATAAAGCATTTTGGATGCCTTTGTTTAACTATTTTCAACATTTTTTACACTTCCTGTAATTGTCTTTCAATAGTTTGAACAAATAAATGAATAATTTCTGGAATTTATAGTTATGTACCAAATACCAGTATTTTAGTCTCCGTATCACGATACGTATCATGCAAAAAAAAAATTGTGATATACCGATACACCAATAAAATCGTGCATCTCTATATTCTTTGTTACTCCTGGCTGTCATAAGGCACAGTGAGTTAGTAAACCTAAAAAATTCAAATTCAGTGGGCATACAATTCAGGTATTTATATGTACTTACAGTAAAAACTGTCTATTCAGAAACTTGTGCACTCTGTTTCACTGTGAATTCAGACCTTTATTTTAATTTGAACTTTACTCTTTTCTATGTGTTTTGCACTGTGCAATCTGACATCCTGACATCCTGTCTATCCTGACACAAAATTTGTTCAGTAGTGAATGTCAAATCAGACAGGTTTCACAGGAAAATTTTTTTCAGCAAGTACTGATTATCTTACCCTGAATTACTGAATTGGAGTAATATATAACTGTGCAATCAAGATGTAAATCGTAAACATTTGGCAAGACTTTCAAATGACATGCTTGTATGTATCCACTTTAAAGTCATTTACTAGTGATTAAAGTTTCAAACTGGATATCCAATTGGAATATTAAGGTTATTCTCTATTTATACAAAATACCTTTTTTAATATTCAAGAAGTAAACACTTTTAATACTTACAATACATTGCATTTGCAAGCATCACAAAGGAGTGTTGATCTTTTTTCTAATGCAGGGGCTTTAGTTATGGATAATTGGAATTGTCATCTCATCCTCTACGGGGAAAAACATAGTATTATAAATAAATTAGAAATGTTTCAATGTTTCTAAAACACAAAAATGTACTCCAATGAGAACAAAAAATCAAAGGTCATGATATTTTAGAACACGTCATTATTTTGTAACATAAGCCTAGATATATAGAAAGACAGTATAGAGTTTTTTCTGTCCTGTAAAATCATTGACCTTGACCTTTGGACAAGTTGCACCCTAAATCTATAAATAACCTCTAAACTTTTCTTCACCTATACAGGGCATGAGCTAACAAATATTATCGATCAAATTTAGTAAGGAAGACTCAATTAAAATGCAGCATTATAATAAGCATCGTAAGTAAAATCTGATAAACTCATGACAGTCTACATATAAGATACAATTTTAGGTGAAAAAAAGGCAATGTTTATATTCTGGAGTAAATTTTTTCAAGTTTTCAAGACGTTTTAGATTTTATGTCTGTTATGATTTTGAAATTGTGGTAGTGCCTGTAAAATCTTGGTTGGGAGCTTGGAGTAAGTGAATCTTGCAGGCACCATGGTCACTTTATGCTTTGCAAAGGCTTCAGAGGTCTATTGGTACTGAATAAATACCCTAATTAATTGTGTAATGGTATCGGATTTGATTCCGTTGACAACCCCTGGACTTGCAGGTAAAATTCCTGCCAGGGGCAATTAAGAACTTGGGTGGGTTGCGTCTCTGAGGGTGAAAACAATTTAAGGAGGGAGGAATGTACATTTTCTCCTTTCCTGTTACAAATGAAATTATAACAATACTTGGGAAGAAAAGTTATAGCTGAATGAAGAATCAGACAAGATCCTAGTAGAGTTCCCACTGAGCTAAAGGAGTGTAACTATCTACCAGTTAAAGGGTTGTCCCTAAGACCCGGGGGCCGGGGAATTTCCCTGCCTATAATGACATAAAGCCCCAGTAATTCTGGTATCCCCCCTCAAGTCCCTGTTAGGGGAGGAACCTTAAACCCCCTTCTACTTTTTTAATGCCCCCTGCTATTTTGATTGTTAGGAACAACCCGAGTTACCAGTTACTGTATATCAGAATAATTGTTTTGCCCCCAGTCAGTTACAGAGCAATAGAGCAATCCAGAATACAGTTTTTGTGTCACCTGCAGAGCAAAGTGACACTTGGGGATTGATCACTTTTACCCAGGGTCTGTTTGTCTGTCTGTCCATCCATTAATCTCACCATCAGTCACACCTTACATATATATCATGAGAAATGTAAAATGATTGGACTTAATTTTTTGAATATATAGACCTGGGCACTACGGCTTTCATAAAATACAAGGGTTTACCCATCTAGTGACCTTTCAATTTGACTTTTGACCTCCTTTTTAAAATCGTTCATAGAGTCAATATATTTAGCTAACTAAGCTTATTTTTGACCTATTGTCATAAGACATTAAAGCTAGACAGTCCACTTGACCCTTGACCTTTGATCTCCTTTGGAAAAATACTTTGAAAAATTTGAGATACAGAGTTTCAATAACTAGCATATACATCACTTGTTTATGAGCTCATGTACTTTTAAACTGTATAATATACAGTATGTTATTACATAAACTGAAATCTAAATACTAACAAAATACATCGGGAGGGTATAGCAAAATATATTGCACTTCAAATAAAGATGAATGCATGCTTACAATATCAGTAAAGAGAATCTGAAATCTCTCTCTATAGTGATGAATCTGGGAGATTGTACAATAAGAATCATTTCTAATTATCTCAGTTTCCTTATTATTTTATGCATAAAGGATTGGGGAATCATATTTTTATTATTTCATATGGTAATTGCCATTCTAACAAGGTCTCTCTATCTGTGGATGTTTTTCTTTGCAGGTAAATGCAAGAACCAATTTAAATGCTAGTAACATAAAAAGCTGACCACTCCTAGATTTATTCAAATGATGCGCTAAAGCAGGTCACATATTGAAACACTCTACTTTTTTATATGGTCCAGGCCCGTAGGAAGCAATTTCAGTTTGAGGGGGCCCAGCCATGCATATATTTTCAGTTGAGGGGGCACTATCAACTACCAAATATTCCTTGACAAGCAAAAAAAAAAAATAAATTAAAAAAAAAAAAAAAAAAATTGACATTTTTATTGAGGGGACACAAGCATATAGTAGCAATCTATATATCGGCAAAATTATTGCTCCCCCCCCCCCCCCCCACGGCCATGTGGTCTATGAATAATCAATTAAGAATAGTATCATTTAAGTCCTTTACAAATTTTTTTTTTTTTAAAGTACAAGTATGACAAAATTATATTCCTAACAATATATTACAGTAACTGTGATCACTGTGATAATTTTTAAGTATTTTTTAAAAAAGCTTTTTATAGATAGAATTAAGTGATACACATTATGATAAACAAGTCATTGACAAAATCGGACCGTGATACATTCTTGGGGTAATACAGGGGTGTGCAATTAAAAAAAATTAAGCACTAGCACATGGGCTAGTGGCAGCAATAAAGTTACTAGCCCCAAGTAAAAAGTTACTAGTCCAAATGTAGGGGCCGGGGGGGGGGGGGGGGGGTGTTAACAACTAATATTAAAAGAAAATAGTTTATCGTTGAAAAAGTCAGGGTTTTAATGTCATTCTTTTAAAATTAAAGTTTAATTCTCACTAGTAAAATTAAATCATTGTATAAATAAATAATTATGATAGTAAATAAAAATGAATTCAAATAAATTATCTTATCTAAAATGAAATGAAAATCATTTTTTTTTCATCTTAAATCATTAAATTTGCTGGAAATATATTTTATGTAAACCACATAACACTTATCTTTCAGTTGATTGAGTGGTTGCAAATAATTTAATGAGATATCTGCATGTGTATTTACCATAAACAGAGGAATAGAGGAAATTCGGATTAGATAAAAGCGATCATTTTTGAAAGTAAATAAGTCAGGTGGTACTGCAAAATTGATAAGATTATGGAGATTAACTACTAGCTACTAGCCTGACCCCAAAAAATGGTAGCCCCGGGCGTCGGGCGATGCTAATTGCACACCCCTGGGTAATACCCATCCCTACTGAGCTACCCAGAATGATGTTCACAGCCCAAATAGCTTCTCTTATATATACAACAAGAAATTGCATCACACTGTCAAATGTCTGAATCTGACCTTTGAGCAAGTGACCAAAAATCTACCGCTCAATAACTTTCTTCAGGCATTCTCAGTGTTGGTTATAAAATGTCCAATTAATTGCATCACAATGGCCGAATTGACATTCTTGAGCTTGGATATTTGATCAAGTTAGGTATTTTCTTGAAAACATTTGTCACTGTAGTAAGTATGCATGACTATATTTGTGGAAAACACAAGAGATCCATGGGCCATGATGCTCACCTGAGTCACCTTGGTAGTGCTGTTATTCATCAGCAGATTTTAAATAAAATCTCACTTTATTCACATGAAAAATTCATTATCCATATCATGGCCCTAGCCTAGCTCCAAGGGGTTGCAGATGTTACAATATCCTTATGATGTTGTGGCCTTATGACTACAAATGAGGGTTATGAATTGAACAAACTTTAATCTAGATGCACTTCCTTAGGATACTCGCATATATCAAAGATTTTAACAAACTTGAATCAGCAATACGCAAGCAGTGATGTTTGCATATTAGTATGACAAATCATGGTCCTGTTGCTCTTGAAGAAAAGATTTTCAAACTTTTTTTTCTATATATATTCCCACGTAAGACTTTGATACCCAATTGTGGCACCAACCTATGCCTGGGGGCTAGGCTTTTCACAAATTTAATTTATAATTTTATACATTACTTGAGGATACTTGCACCTCAATATCGATAATCATGGCTGTGCTGTTCTTGAAAAGATTTTAAAACATTTTCCCTATATATATTCTGATGAAAAAATTGACCCTCTATTGTGGCCCCCACCCCATCCTCAAGGGCAGTGATTTAGACAAACTTGAATCTACACCATGTCAGGAATCAAAACTTTCATACAAGTTTACCCTTTCTGGTACAATACTGGGCTGAACATTAACATTTTTCCGATTGTCTGTGTCCAGTTCATTTTGTAATAGGACAAGAGGCTCAAGGGGCCTTTAAGGTCACCTGAGTTTAAAAAACAAGAGGCCCAGGGGCCACATTGCTCACCTGAGCACTATGGCTAGGAAAAAGCAGAAATCAGTTCAGCCTTGAAAGGTTGAAAAGTTTAAATATAAAAGTGGTTGGGGGGAGGGGGCATGAATTGAACAAATTTGAATCTATATAACCTGAGGATGCTTCCATTTAAATATGACCAATCATGGGTTTGCTGTTCTTGAGAAGAAGATTTTTAAACATTTTTCCTATATATTCCTATGTAAAACTTTGATTGCCCATTGTGGCCCCGACTGACCCCCGAGGGTCATGATTGAACAAACTTGAATCTACACTACCTGAGGATGCTTCCATGTAAATATGACCAATCATGGCTTTGCTGTTCTTGAGTAGAAGATTTTTAAACATTTTTCCTATATATTCCTATATAAAACTTTGATCGCCCATTGTGGCCCCACCCGACCCCGGGGGTCATGATTTGAACAATCTTGAATCTACACTACCTGAGGAAGCTTCCACATAAGTTTCATATTTTCAAGCACATTGGTTCTTGAGAAGAAGATTTTTTTAGCTCACCTGTGCTGAAAGCTCAAGTGAGCTTTTCTGATCACATTTTGTCCGGCGTCCGTCTGTCTGTCCGTCTGTCTGTAAACTTTTCACATTTTCGACTTCTTCTCAAGAACCACTGGGCCAATTTCAACCAAACTTGCCACAAAGTATCCTTGGGTAAAGGGGATTCAAGTTTGTTCAAATGAAGGGCCACGCCCTCTTTCAAGGGGGGTAATTAGGAATTACTGAAAAAATAATGGCATCATTTAAAAATCTTCTTCTCAAGAACCATTGGGCCAGGAAAGATGAAACTCATGTGGAAGCATCCTTAGGTAGTGTACATTCAAG